CTTCATCTTTATCATATTCTTTGAATCTCTGAAATAAGATTTTATTTTATATATATATGAATCAGTGGTTAATGGATCTAAAAAATTTGCACGAAGACTATGACCAATTAATTTTTCTAAATCAGTATATATTTTTGTCAATGATTAATGTTAGAATATGCATTACAGATAAGTTTCATTTTAAACCCAAAATGATTTGCAACATTTTTTTGCAACATTATGAATTACTCCTCCAACAATTTTATCATAATATTTTAACAGAACAGATTAACTTTCATTAATAATAATAAAGTCCTTTTCTTTTTTAATATCTTCACAAGTAACAAATTTATGAAGATATTTTTCAGCTAAATCTAATCTATAATTTACATTCAAATTATATAATGTTTTAATAACTCTATCAAAATCTTTAGAAAGAACTTTGATTCGATTTTGCTAACTTAAAAATAAATCTTTGCAAAAATCTTTATTTTGATTCTTAGTTACATATCAATCAAAAGTAGATATAGGATTTTATTAAAATTAATAATAAATACAATAAATATATAATTAATTAATTTTTTAAAATATAAAAATCTAATAATCTTAATTAAACCTAAGTTAACATATACTAAAAGTATATGTAAGAGGAGATATACGACCTTAAAGCCATATAGATATAAAATTATATTATAAATTATATGATTTATAATTTAATCTTAATAGTAACTGATCTATATATTAGAAAGTATATTCCTATAACTTAAAAAATTGAACATACTTATTCTTTGTATTTTAGCATTGATTTTTTCACAAATTGGAGATTTGATAATGAGCTCTTGTTAAATTATTTTACTTAAAGAATTAAAGAATTGTAATTACTTACTAAATCAATAACTTGATTGCTAATCAACCATACTTTAAATTTATCTGGTTCTTCAAACAAAACTATACAATATTTATGATTAAATTCATTTAAAATTTTACAAATTTTTCTGATAATTTTTTGAAGAAAGACATTGTGAAAGTTTGAATGGAAAATAGATGGTTGGAAAAAAATACAATTTTATATAAAAAAAATGAGGAATTTTTTTAAAAAAAAAAGAAAAAAGAAAATGAATTACCATATCGTTCTGAAATTAAACAACCCTTTTTTGCTATAGAGTTGCTTAATTTCAGGTACTTTTTCTTTTATAGAAGAAGAAATGAAAAAATTGCTACATAATAAACATTTTATCATCACATTACGCAAAATAATCATCTGCATAATGTAGCGCAATATCACGATCAATAAATCATACGCAATCAATCATGAACTTATTTCTAAACTTGTTTTAAAATTTAATATGTCACCACAAAAGTAAAAAAGACTATCTGTTAATAAAAAAACCCTTAAACGAAGTCGCAATCCATATTCTATTGAGCAAAAGAGATAAGTTGTCATTTATGCTAAGAAAAATAGAATAATTAGAGTGGCAAATACTTTTAAACTTAATAAAAGCATAGCAGTCAGTGATCATATCAGGGATTGGCATGGGGACCCAATTTTAATTAGATAATCGACATCATAAATTGAACACTTTTTGTAAAATGGTTTTCTGCTTGAATAAAAAAATCTTACATAATAATCTATACCCAAATTTTGCATATAGCTTTATATTATTCTGATTTTATAACATATCAATTTTTATCTGTGATAAACAATTATTAAGTAACTTTTACTATAGACAACTGATATGATAAATGAAAAATTGCCAAATGTAACAATATTTTAACATACAAAAATGTTGTCTCACCATAGTTTGTAATACTAAGAAATTCAATATAACAAGACAAGAAAAGAAAATTTTAATTTATGTTTAAATAAAAGAAGTCTCATATAACTTGCATTTCAGGTTTTAAGTTGCCTGTTTTTTAAACCAATTTTAGAACAAGAATATGAAGTTTCTTTCTCTCCACCTTCCCCATTTTCTGTAAACTTGTCAGAAGAATGTGACAATGAAATATATAATAATAAAGAGTTTGAACAAGAGGAATTTTCACTAGAATATTTAAATGAAATACTTAACAATAACGATACTAGTGATACAGACTCAGAAAACTCAGAAGATTCAGAAGACTCATAAGACTCAGAAGGCTTTGAAGATTTTGAAAACTTTGAAGACTTTGAAAACTTTAAAAAAAATAAGAGAAATAATCATGAAAAAATTGAGAAAGAAGAAATTATAGACTATTTGGAAACCACAGAACTTACACCATGTGTAGTTATTGATTTCGTTAAAGGTAAAATTCAGCGATGTAGGGAATCAACAAAATTAAGACAATTATGAAACTTATTTGATATATGGCAAGTTGACAGAGATGCAATTAAAGAGGTTGATGGTGTTTTGTCAAGGTTAGGAGTGTATAATTCTCATTTTCAATTTGATAACAAATATTTATATCCACGATTTTTTTTATATATATATTTTTTTAATTTGCTATTTAAAAAATCTATTAATAAAATTGCAATGTATTAATAAAATTAGAAAAAAAAAATGTAATCTATAACCGAAAAAAAAATTAAATCTAAAAATCAAAAAAATCAATTATTAAAATAAAATACAAATTAATTAATATAAAAATTAATAAAAATAATTAAAAAAAAATTAACTGCAAAGAAAAATTAAATTAGAAAAATTATTTTATAATGGAGGACGAAGTCCTTCGCAAACTGCAAACTCTAGTTAAAGTATTAAATAATCAGAATAAATTCAATGGATCATCTGCTGGGTGAAATTGCACGACCACGAATTCAAACTCAGGTGGTTCTCATTTGTAACATGATCCTTGTTAAAAATTCCATTAATATCATTATTACCTCGTTAATTCATCGTCACCTACATTATCTGGGAAAGGGGACGAACACGATTAGATACGTTTTATATAAAGAAACTGGGAATAAGAGGGTCACCCTTCAAACACAGCTATGCCACCACATCACCAACGAGACCCCCCT